ATTTGTTCTTGCACCCGACCAAAAAACGAAGAATGTCGTTTACAACAAGGTGCTTGAATGAAAATCCGATTAATAAATTTATCAGTGTATCCCAGCCTGAACAACATAGCTTTCAACAATTTTTTACCTAGAAATAATATAGAGGGCAATGCAACGTTTGCCGGGCCAGCTAGTATTAATATAAATTGATGTTATGATGCAAATGTAATGCATATTTCACAGATAATATCGCTCTGAACACATTTAGTGCGATGCCTGCAGCATAGGCCACAGTTTTTATGTTGTGGCTGATTAGCTGAGACACAGTGACTGTTCAACTGTATGATAAGACTGATATGATAAGATGTGAAGATATTATTGTGATTTAGATTCGTTTCAGAGATAACAATTTAATAAGGATATATTGCACAATGCTCTTCAAATCTGAAGTATTTAACTCGTTTATATGTAAGAGTAGTGATGGCACGATTAATCATATGACAATAATCGAATACTTTGCTTCCATTGGCGATTTACTTGTCTCAATCATTCTAAAAAATAGGCGCCAGGCTTTTCAGTGCCAGCAGAGCGTGGACGCTAGTGTTACGAAAAAAGAGAACAGATCGACCATCACATATCTTTCGAAGTTATTGTTTCTAAATTCTAACCTAATCGATAAATATTTACACGTATTTTTAGTTAGTTTACAATACAATATCTTTAAAATTATTTTTTATAAATCATTTAATTAATCGATAAATTGAAATTAAAAATCGAGCATTTTAAATGAATCATTATTATTCAATAATCAATTAATAAATTGTGTTTGGCATTACTACCTAAGAGTATAAAAATCATAATTATTAAGAAATATTGGGTTTAGTAAAACATGTGTGAGTCGGAAAACATTCTATATTCCCACATATATATCAACCTATTACGTGTTCTCAGTTTTAAAAGATTAGAACCTCCAATTATAATATGGAGAAGCCGTTGGACCTATCAAGCTAAAAGATGTACCCGATTTTGCAATACATCTAAATAATTTTAAGAACTAAGTAGAATCTTATTCAGTCGCCAGCATCTGACTGCAATGTTTTAACTAACTAGGGATCTATTAACTTTCGGTCTTTTGACTGTTTATCATAGTTTTATTTCAAGTAATTGATGCCAACTGAGCATGAACATGAACCGAAATGCAGTTTTCTTCTACAGTGTTTCGATTTTGTTACTTATTTCAGATAAATTAAATCAAGTTTTAGTTGTATAGTTCATGAACCAGTTGTTAATTGATACAAGTTCGTGGTACTTTCTTTAAAAGAATTTGCCTACTTTGGGGCGCTTAGCTTATGAACTAGTTCCCAATATCTTTGTAACCAGTTTTTTTTAGTTTTTGACGATATTTATTCTATATCACATATCACATATATATTTTTGGAACTAGTTCATTGCAACTTAAGTTTAGTTTAGTTTTCTTTGCCTGTATTACTTTACGTTCGCTGACAGAAATTAAATCTAATTTGAGTTGCATAGCTTTCTGGAACTAGTTGTTTGTGACTTAACCGGAACCAGAATTCGGACTTACCGTGATTCCTGTCGCAGCAGTTGATCGCCAAGTAAGAGTTCAGTTCTTCCTTTTGATATGCTACTTGTGGGACTATTTGGCTGCTGTTGCTGTTGCTGCTGCTGCGGGTCAAAGGGCAACTGTTGCTGGCTGCAGCTGCTGCTGCTGCTGATGCCAGCTATTGGCAGCGCTGCAGTTGTATTGTACGGCTGGCCAAGGCAATCGCTGGACTGATGCACAGTGATGTCATCATTAAGCGTAGTTAGTAACTAAAAGAGAGAAAGAGAGGGGGAGAGAGAGACAGGAAGAGGGGGAATAGAGAGAGATTGCATTAGATAACGAATTAAGCACATGAGCCAATCAAATCAAATCAAATCAAAACAAATCATAATGAAGACAAGACCAGAGACATGCAACAGTTGCAACTTGAGCAACAGCAACAGTTGCTGTCGTCGCTCACCTCTCGTCGCGGTGGATACAAATTATTCGATATTAGTAGATCACAATTTTTTATAGCGGACGCTCCGATGTTGCTGCTGGCGCAGCTGCTGATGTTGCCTGATGTGATGCAATTATTGCTATTATTGTTGTTGCTTAAAAGTAAATGTTGCTGCTGCTGCTGCTGCTGCTGCAGTTGGCTGGCGATGTTGTTGTTGTTGTTGTTGTTACTCGTGTTGCTGTTGTGCTGCTGCAAGTCAGCAAACGCCTGCTGCAGCTGTCCACTGGATATGGCCGTCGAGTACTCCGTTTTGGGCGTTGTCGTTCCATGCACATGGCCCTTGCCCATCCCTGTGCCATGTCCCTGCCCCTGCCCTTGCCCTTGCCCTTGCCCATGTCCGTGCGCCGGCAAGGCAATCTCGGCCGCCGTCACGATGCTCGTTCCGCCAGTTGCCAGCGGCGATGTTGAGGTCTGGGCATCGACAAAGTGGGTACACCCCGCACCACCCGCACCACCTGCACCGCCAGCAGCGGCACCAGCAACAGCATCGCTGCCCAGCTGCAGCGGCGACGGCCTGTTCGCTGCCTGCGTCTTCGTCTGCGCCTTCCGCTGCTGATGGATCGCCGCTGTGGTCGACAGCGTTGCGGCCGCAGCGGGCAGCGTTGTTGTTGCTGGCAGCGTTGTTGTCGGCAGCTGAGCGTGCTTGTTGTTGTAGCTGATGTAGGTGATGCCGCAGTAGTTGGCACCATCCACATCATCGTCGTCGTCGTCCATGTCCTCGTCGTCCACCTCCTCGGCCAGGTGCTGCAAGCTGCTGGCTAGCAGCGACTTCGCCTGCAGCGGCTTCCCAGTGGCCGCAGCCGCTGCCAGTTGCTGCTGCAGCTGCTGCAACTGCTGCTGCTGCGCCTGGCTGGTCTGATAGATGTGGCCGGTCGCGCTGCTCGTCTTGTTGCCCGCCGGTGGCTGCTTGAGCGCTGCCGCCGCCGCAGCCGCTGTGGCCCCCACAATCGCCGCCGTCGTCGAGCTGCGCTCAGCACTGCGTTCGGTGTTGGCTGCTGCTGTGGCGGCAGCAGCTGCTGCCGCTGTCGCCGCTGCCACGGCGGCGCTCATAAGGGCCGCCGATGGCGCTGCCGTTGGCGTCGCTGTCGTCGCCGTTGCCGTGGTCGGCGCCAACGAGGGGGCGCTGATGGGGCCGCCGGCTGTGGCCGTCGTCATCGTGGCGCTGCTACAGGTAATTTGATTGCTGCTAAAGGACGTCACATAGATGGGCGTGGTCTCGTTCAGGAAGCTGAGATCCTGCTTTTGGCTGGTCGTGGTGCCGCTTTTCGTTTGCTGCAGCTGCGTGTGCGACGTCATGGTGGAAATCAACCACAAATTGAGAGAGTAAAGAGAATTTAACGAGTTATGTGGATGAATAATGAAAAGAGATTGAAAGACAGAGACAGAGAAAGAACAAGAAAATGAAGAAAAAAGATAAATGAAGAGAGAAATCGTAGAGAGAGAGAGAGAGAGAGAGTGAGTTAAGAAGAGACAGACACACAGAGAATGTGAGAGAAAAAGAAAGAGAAAGAGAGAGAGAGAGAGTTAAGAAGAGACAGACACACAGAGAATGTGTGTGAGAGAGAGAGAGAGTGAGTTAACAAGAGACAGACACACAAAGAATGTAAGAGAGAGAGTGAGTTAAGAAGAGACAGACACACAGAGAATGTGAGAGAAAGAGAAAAAGAGAGAGAGAGAGAGTTAAGAAGAGACAGACACACAGAGAATGTGAGAGAGAGAGAGAGAGAGAGAGAGAGAGAGATTAAGAGATATGGGCAAGGCAAAAGAGAGGATGACAGGATTAAAATACCAATTTCAAGAGAAGACACAGGTAGGTAAAAGCAAAAAGAAATAGATTTGTTGATAATCACAAGATTTACTTTAAAAATATACATATATAACTACTTAACTACATATAATTTGAAAGGACTTTTGCTGAAATGTATTCAATTTAAAACAAAAAATCAATAGAAAAGTAAACAATTATTACGGTAGAACAATCTAACGACTCTTTATATATCGATATTTACATACATATACATATTTATGGGTATATAAATGTATATTAAATATGAATACCAGAAATAAAAGGCATAGCTTGGCTTTTTCCAAGTCGTAAGCAACCAAACCGATAAATATCGATTTAACGCATTTAATGCGAGGTGCGCACAAATGTTTGTCAAAGTCAATTACTTGACGTCGACGGCGCAAGTATGGGAGATATTCTAGGCACGCCGTCTCCTGTGATGATTGTCGACCGTGCCGTAGACGATAAAAGCGCGCATGGGGCGTTACGTATATATATTTAGGCGCACACATAAATATATTAAACGCTGCTGTGATCCTTTATTCGCAAATGCAAATCAATCAACATTTCATTAAAATGAAACCAGCGAAAATAATCCAAAAGGCAAAAATGCCGGGGCCCAAGCGCTGGCTTTTGCGTTGCCTTTTGCTTTTGCTTCGGCTTTGGCTTTTGCTTTAGCTTTGTGTACGTCCCAGAGCTCTAAATTTAATATGCATTAATAATGTACGCCTACAGTAAAAGCCAGCGAAAGCGTCAGCATATTCTCAGTGCTTAAACTCTGCATAAAGAACAGATTGATTCAATATCGATAATTATCGATAACTTTTATTTGTACAAAAATAGATGTAAAGTTTACTTAAGACTGGTCTCCAATCGAATGAAGTGACGTGGAACGAAATGGAATCAAACCACTTGCTTGAAAAAATACTCAAAACAAACGGGAATAACACACCTTTCGCATATATTTTATTACATAATTTCACAGTCTCAATGGTTTATGAAACGAATGGAATGGAGCACGTGTAGATCCTCCGTATAGAAGTGGAATTAAATGAAACCGAAACACGTTCAGCAATGCATAATATTTGTGGAATGAAATGTGATGAAACAGCAATGGGGCACATTGCCGAGCTGCCTTGCTTTAGTCACATATCAGCGAGTGCCTACTGTAGCATTTAGAGGCTTTTGTTTGCATGTGTCACAGGCGTAGGTGTGCCTTGGCAGCGCTGTCTGCCTTGCCTGCGTGGGCTGGCAACAAAAGGCGTCCACAGACCCAGACCCATTGGCCGCACCCCGGCGCATTGCAGAGCTGGCTGAGCAATTAGCCTGCGCCCGCACAGTTCCTGTCAAACTGTATGCCAGAGACAGCCGAACAAGTCCCCAAGTGGGCAGTCGAACGAGCCTGCAAATCAAAAGTCTTTAGTTGGCATCAGGGCTAGCTGCGTGCTTTGCTCATCTGATAAATGTCAACATCGACCAGTTCCGTTCCCTACACCAATTCACGACTTCACATTCAGAGCACTTCCGCTGCTCCGCATCCGCCGCAGCAACAGGTGGGGCAGCAGCTGCCAAACTGTGAGGCTGCCCAGCCACGCGGATGCAAAATACACACACATATGTACGTATGTATAGGTCTATATGTAACAACTAGATATAGATATAGGTATACCTATATATACATATACATATATATATATATATATGTGTGTGTGTGTGTGTGTACTCTAATCTGTATTGTGACCGCTGCCGTCAACAAAATGCTTCACGCTTCGTGCACATTCCACTTGTGCGTTCAATTGCTGCGACTCTCAGACCAATCCATTCGGTTGCCCTGCCCACAAAACTCAAGCCAGCTCAGTTAACTTCAAAATCTACCCGCTGTACCCCAACCACTCCCTCTCCCTGCTGCTCATCTATTCAGTTCTGTCATCAACGTTGCCGTTTCATTCATTCATTCATTCCATTATTTTTTTCCGCTCTCATCCACATTTTATCGGATTATTGACAGTCAAGACGAGCTGCTGGCTCCATATGCGTAGAACTCGCTCTCTTTCTCCCTCTGGGTGCGTATGCGTATATGGAGTGATACGCCGCTCATCAGTCGGCAGCAGAGCACGTCCTGGCAACTGGAGCTCGGTCGATCTGCCCGAGAAGAGGCTGCACTTAACCACTTATCGCATTTCAATCGATTCGCCTGGGCTCCGTTCAGTTTGGCCTGGCAATAACCTATTGACGAGACTTCATTTCGTCGGCTGCAGTCAGCGTCTGTCCCCAAATAAATCGAACCCTGGCGAGCATCGAGCGTACCCGAATCACCACTTAAGAAATAGCACTCAAAGCCTCTCGAATCAAGCCCAGCCAACCAACCAAGTGAAAGCTGATAGATACAGACACCATCTACTTTGTGTGATTGATGATTGATTCAACTGAATTCAATCAAAATCTTAGTTTGCCCCATCTGAAACCAGAAGCGAATTAGGATATGTATTTTCAGAAACAACTTTATACTCCTATTGTATTTTAAGGAACTTTAGGTTTGATTGGTATGCCTTCAAGCCCTAACTGGAAAAAGGCATTTTGGCCTTAAAATTAGATTTGTTGCATAATGCTCCATTTGTAAAGAAAAAAAATCGATAAAAAAAAACACAATATACTGTTATTACTTTGTAAAAATATTGTACAATACTATGATTTATAATATTTTATTATTATGTTTACCATTAAGACAATTAAGAGTGTTTAACATCGTCTTAATTAAATTAAATTAAATTATAATTTTACATTTTCAGTTTGTATAATAATATGTATT